AAAAAAAAAAAAAGGCATTTCTTTATTGTGAAACACAAATTCTACCACGGTAAAGCTGGCCCGTTGGTCCTAGGTCCGCAGCAGGAAGCGTCAGCCCTCTCATTCCCCAGGTGCAAAAAATGTGCAACAACTTGTGAGCTTGTTTATTAGAAAAATACTGCCAACTTGGACATCCCTCCTTTGAAGGTTTGAGCTTCGCTCCCTTTGTGTTCATGGAGTTCCTGCGGCCTGGAGCGAGGTGGGCTCGGCTTCCCCAGCCGCCCTAGGCAGGCGGTGGCGCAGCCCCTGCTCCCATCCCGATGCTTCACGGGCCGCCCGCGCAGCTGGAGGAGACGCCAGCGTCCCAGCGTCCCGAGCGAGCGCCGGGGCGAGCGCGGCGCAGCGCAGTTCAGCGGCGGGCTTCGAGCTTCACCTTTTCTTCACAAACTTCTTTCTGGAAGCGTTGGGATTTAGTCGTCTCCGGCCCGCTCCCAAGGAGCCGTCGCGGACCTGCAGCATGGCCGAGCGGCTGCAGATGTCGTTCTCCGCGAAGGGGGACACGCCGGCGATGTAGTCCGGGGCGAACACGTCGGTCTTCTGCCTGGCCTTCCGGGAGAGCCGCAGCTGCGGGAAGCGCTGGTCCTCCGTCAGGTGGGGGCTCACGGCGTACTTGCCCCCCTTGGGAGTGGGCAGTGAGTACTGCGGACAGACCCGGGAAGGCAGTTACAACGGAGCACGGCGGGGTCCGGCCGACCGCAGACCCCCGCACGCCCGCAGGGCACTTCCTAGTGACCTGGCACCACTGTCACCACTCTGTGTGTCAGCAATCGTGAACTGGCAGGCAAACTGCGCTGGGGCGAAGCAGACCTGTGGCCCGGCGGGGCGCACGGTGTCAGGGAGGGCCCGGGGAGGGGCGCGGGCTGCGCTGTGCCCGGAGATCCCCGGAGACCCCAAGAGCCACGCGGATTCTAGGGCCTGGGACCACTCTGTGCCGGGAAGAACAAGTGTGATCCAGTAGCTAGCACTCGTCAGGGGCACCCAGAGCGGCTCCACGGGCCCCTGCTGGCCACGCGGGGAACAATCTCAGCCTCCAAGTGAGGACCCTAATGGGTCACGTTCCAGAGACAGAAATAAGAATTCACAAGCTCACACTTAGAAATAAATGGGAGGGGGGGCTGGGAAGGTGGCTCAGTGGTAGAGTGCTTGCCTTGCATGCCTGAGGCCCTGGGTTCGATTCCTCAGCACCACATAAGCAAAAAGAAAAAAAAAAAAAAGCCAGAAGTGGCACTGTGGCTCAAGTGGTAGAGTGCTAGCCTTGAGCTGAAGAGCTGAGGGACAGCGCCCAGGCCCAGAGTTCAGGTCCCACGACTGGAACTCCCCCCCCAAAAAAAGAAATAAATGGGAATGAAAGGTCAGAGCCTCTTCAGCTAGAATGCCAAGCAACACAGAGGTGCAGTGAGTCACAATTTGGCAATTTCACTACAGCGGCTCTCTAAAGTAAGTTACACGGCCAAGTCCATCAGAAACCCCCTTAACCAAGTGACTGATCAACACTGCCACCACCAGAAACTGGCAACCATAACCACCTACCCTCTGCCACCACACAGTCACCTCCGAGCTGTTTTTGCCCAAACTTCAGAGCCCCATCTCTATGTACACAGCGGAAGGAAGGACGTTACCTCCGCTTAGAACCTCGCAAGGAGACCCGTCTCCCGTTCTCCCCCGGGAGCCCAGGCTTTCAATCCCGTGCTGAGTGTGGGGTGACGCTGGCACTCACCCGGAGGCCGCGGGGGTTCAGCACCTTGGGGTTGCGGGAAAAGTGCATGTGCAGGGTGCCATCGTCACTAACGGTCACGGACACCTTCTTCAGGGTCTTGTTCCCACAGTGCGCACAGAACACGCGGCTCATGTCTGACGTTGTCCTGGAGGGCAGAAGAGATGTTGTAGGCTGGCACTGCAGGCAGCAAACATAGCGCCGTTGCACAGCGGTCCCCAGCCTCTGGGGAGGAAAGGACAAGGGGCGTTGAATGCATGCAGAGCTGCAAGGTACCACATACATCTTTATAAAGGCTGGCGAGCGGCGGTGGCTCACACCTATAATCCTAGCCACCGAGAGGCTGAGATCTAAGGATCCAGGTTCAAAGCTAACCTGGTCAGGAGACTCATTTCCTATTAACCAGCAAAAAGCCACAAGTAGAGGTGGGGCTCAAGCCTTGAGAGGAAAAAAACTAAGGGACAGTGCCCTGGCCTCGAGTTCAAGCTCCAGTACTGGTGCATGCATGCACATGCGCACACACACGCGCACACACACACAGAGGCTGCCTGGCTTCCTGCACTAAACACACAGCAAAGGCTGCTGCCTTCCTAAGTGACGTAAGGAGCAAGTGTCCTTTCCAGAGCTTACTGTTACAGCTCCTACCCTGTCCCTGATCGTTGGCCTGGACAGTACCACCGGAGGTAGCCAAGAATCACACAGGCAACACCGGGTGGGGGTGACGAATGGCTGGAGAGCGGGCCTCAATCCTGTTCACTCCAGCTCCCAGGAAGGACCCCGGACAGGCTAAAGCTGCCCCTGTCAGGGGCCAGGCAGCAGCCATAGGAATGTCCCAGCATGAGTCAGGACAGGAAATGAGGTGACATGGCTGGAGAAGCGCCTCCCCCACCTCTAAGAGCGAACCAAGTGCCCGCACACAGGTGTTGTGGACTAAGTTCCAAGCCTGGCAATAACTGACTGGCAGATTCACACAGGAAGAGGGAATCGGGACATGAATTCATGTACTAAAGATTTAGACTTTGAGCCGGGCGCCGGTGGCTCATGCCTGTAATCCTAGCTACTCAGGAGGCTGAGATCTGAGGATCGTAGTTCAAAGCCAGCCCAGTCAGGAAAGACCATGAGACTCCTATCTCCACTAGACCACTAGAAAACCAGAAGTGGCGCTATAGCTCAAGTGGTAGAGCGCTCGCCTTGAGCTGAAGAACTGAGGGACAGCATCCAGGTCCAGAGTTCAAGCCCCACGACAGACCAAAAAAAAAAAAAAAAAAGGTTTAGACTTTGGTCTTACTCTGACATTTCAGGCATGAAGTATACAGTCTGGTCTTGTTTCATCTCTGTTCTACAAAACTCAGTCTCCCAGTGCATTATTTCAAAGCAAATTGGTCATTCCCCCCAGAAACAGTCCAGGGTGAACATCTAGAATGAACCCAGATCCCCAAGGGGATGTGTTTGTGCGTGTGGAGTTGCTGGCAACCTCTGTGCTCTGGTAGAGTGGAACCAGGGCACCCCAGAATGAGAAGGCGGGCGAAAAATAGGGATGGAATATAGCGCTCTGCTTGGAAGTTCTCAGCAGGGACAGGACGAGCACAGCAGCGGGGCCCCCAGTTCTGCGCATCGCTACATACTTGAAGCAGCCATGGCAGCGCAGGATGTAGCTCCGGGCCTCTCGGATCAGCATGCCGTTCACCGCCAGCACGTGCAGCCCCATCTGTAGCAGAACATTCTGCAAGCAGCAGGTGAAGGAAACCAGACACAAGTTAGATCTTAACACGGACTTTGTAGTTAGTCAGCTAGATGCCTTGGTTTGGCTCATACCTTCTGCGGTTGTGGTTTTTGTGTGTTAGTCCTGAGGCCTGAACCTCTGAGCCTTGTACATTTGTTCAGCTTTCTCACTTGTGGCTGGCATTCTACCACCTGAGCCACGCCTCCAGTTGGTCACCTGGAGGTACCTCTCCAGATGTATGCACTAGACAGGGACTCTGGCAAGGACAGGCCTCCTGTGCTCATTGTGAGCAAGCTGTCTCAATAGAGACATTCTATCAGAGGAAAGGAGTCCCACTTCTACATTGGAAAACCTGCCTACCTTCATGTACCTAATTGAGTTCAACTAAACTAAGTCCAATTCGAACATCAGATACACAATACAAATGTTACCAAAGGACACAGGTCAAATTCCTGGAGCCAAAAAAAGCAGCGGTAGACACCAGCAGTGCTGCACAATCCCCATGCCGGTGACAGCATGATGCAAGGTCCGGGGCTGGCCTGTGTCACCCCTCACCTGCATAGCGAAGTCTGTGGTCACACAGCCGACCCGCACATCCTTCGGGTCGTCACACTGCTCCAACTCCTGCTGGATCTGTTTGATGTTGCTGGGCGTTATCCACCCACCCCCATCGTCATCGCTGTCTTCTTTCCTATCTTCGAATCCATCTTCTCTCTCCTCCTCCTCTTCCCCTCCATCAATCTGAAATAGCAATAGCATAGAGTTCCAGCCCACTGGAGATGGGTGGACCAGCTAGTGCAGGGTGAACTGCAGACCAGAGCCAGGCCTCACCAGCAGCTCCTGCAGCTCGCGGTCAATGTTAGGCAGGGGGCTCCTCCAGAACACAAAGGAACTGAATTCCACGCTCTCAGGACCATCAGCCGTGTCTCCGTGATCTGACGTTTCTGGACGGGGTTTAGGCTAAGATTAAAACACATAGACATTAAAAAAACATCTTTTCTGTGATGCTGGGGACCAAACCCAGAGTCCTGTGCATACCTTCACTGAGCTATTCCCCCTTCTTCCAGTGACAACTTAAAACTGGAAAAGTGAGTGTAATCACATGACCTGCAAGTCAGTTCGGACAGGGATGGAAAATACTGCTAACAGAAAATGCAAGTTTGGTTTTCTACAGACAGAGAACCTGTAGAGCCAGGCTTGGTGATGACACCTGTAATCCTAGCATGTGGGAGGCTGCGGCAGGAGGACCCTGAACCTGGGCTACCCGGGGAGACCTTGTCTTAAGCAATACAGAACAAGAGCTTGAGGAATATGGTTTTGTAGACGGAATTACCTTGGAAGGCAGATGAAAACCAGAAATGTGCAGAGGGTTTTCTGGGTGCTGAGTGGAGGAGCTCACTCTAACCTTAAATAAATAACAATAGGATAAATAAGATGACCGCTGAGCAAGGAAATTTAGCTTGAAACTACAACATGAAGGATTATTTAAAAAAAAAAAAAGGCAAAATATTTCCCCCATAGTTACTGAAATAAAACCTATCCAATGTTTAAAAAGACTGGAAAATATAAGAATATATACATAGAAAAAAAATGACAGTATTTTCCCATCCCAGCACAATTGAGAACTTGGGGTTCAATTCCTCAACATGTGTGAATGTCATTGCCCATCACACTTAGGACAGATGCCTCAGAGCTGGACTGCTGGGTCAAAGGATGCACTGTTCCAAAGCATCGCATACCAATGCATTCTGGTGACATGCAAGTTTGTGTTATAAGGTATCATTTTTAGACCTTTAAACCAGAGGATTCTGAACCTGGCTGGGAAGGTGGCTCAGTGGTAGAGTGCTTATTTGCAATTAACGAGCTGTATTTGGATGCTGATGAAAAACAGGCTTAATAATTATAAAACAATGAGAAATACAACAAGTGATGGTTCCTTGGGTGACGTTAGAGATAACTATTGTTTTTGTGTAGGTGTAATGGCTTTGAAGTTATTTCTTTCAAGAGGTTCTATCTTTCAAGACACACCAAGAAATATTTATCAGGAAATTGATAAATGCTGTCCAAATTCAAAATCCTGAGGGCTGTGGCTCAGTAGAAACGAAGCCAATCAACCATGAGGCTGCTGTAGTAAATGCAGATAGCGTCCCATTACACCGCTTCCTCCACTTCCACAATAAAAAAGTGAATTGAAAAACAAAACGCCAACTCTCTGGACTTACCTTTTCTGGTTCTTGTTTCAGATGAGACACCCCAACAAAATCTGCTTCCAACTGGTAAGTAAGCGCCAGCACCTGGATATCTGTGGCTGAGAGGCTGGGATAGTCTCCAGTTTTCTTTGAAAACTCAGTCACTGAAAGCAAGAGATCCCCAACTTTGATTAGAAGCTAACCCTCCCCCCAAAAAAATAATAGGACCCTGAATAACCATAAAGAAAAAAAGCCAATAACCCCTAAAAACGGCAACACAACTCATTCAATTCTACCCCCAGTTGAGACTCTATTCTCCACCACCAAGATTCATGCTGTAACTAGCATGAGTCCTACTGCATCCTAGTGTGAGCAGATGACTGAAATGATAGTTGAAAGTCTCAGCAGTTAGCCCAATATTTGCATAAAGGATAAAATGTCCTTATGAAAGCTTAGACTAGAATCCTCCTCTCCCAGCTCTAAGATTGTAACTATAACAATCTAGATGAAGAGAATGATTAGAGTCCAAGATGGAATGGAAAGTTACTTTGACCCTAACTTCAGTCTATGATGAAAAAAAAAATACTAAATTGCTTTATAACAACAGACCGTTTTTGGAAATTTTTTTAGATCTCTATTTTTTGGGAGTACTGGGATTTGAACCTGTGGCCTCATGCCTGCTGGGCAGGTACTCTGCTGCTGAGTCTCATCTCTGGCCTGAAAGTTACCCAACCCCACTTAAACCAATAAAAAGCTAAGTGTGGTGGCAAATACCTGTCATCTCAGCTAAAGCAGAAAGCTAGGTAGGAAAATGGAAGTCTAGGCCAAACCTGGCATAAACGGAAGACCTTAATCTCAAAAATAAGCCCCCATATCTGGTTGGTAGTGGCTCACACCTGTAATCCTAGCTACTTAGGAGGCTGAGATCCGAAGATTGTGGTTCAAAGCCAGCTGGGGCAGGAAAGTCGGTGAGACTCTTCTAATTAACCACCAGAAAACCAGAAGTGGTGCTGGCTTTGGGCTGAAGAGCTGCACCCAGGGCCAGAGTTCAAGGAGAGGAGAAAGGAGAGAGGAGAGGAGGAGAGAAGGAGAGAGAGGAGAGAGAGAAAGCTTCAACAACCTGGCAAAGATCCCATAGGTAGCAAGTTGGTAGAGAAAGCCACAAAAACCAGAAACTATTAGAATGGGTAACAATGTCTGTCTTCTCAGCCTCTAACTTCTAAAATACTTCAACTGCTGAGAACCTTTCATTCCTAACAAGAGAGCAGCGCTGACTCCCAGGCAAGAGATAACTTGTTTTATTTAAGGTCTAATTATAATTAGTACAAGTCTAAAAACATCCTTTTTCCTTTCTGCTTTTCTGGGCTGAGGCTGGCCTTCACATCGTCACGAAGAAAACTAACAGTGCAGAGCTGGGAAGGTGGCTCAGTGGTAGAGTGCTTGCCTTGCATGCATGAGGCCTGGGTTCGATTCCTCAGCACCACATAAGCAAAAAGAAAAAAGCCGGAAGTGGCGCTGTGGCTCAAGTGGTAGAATGCTAGCCTT